TTTCCCTACTCTAGTGCTGGAAGTTGGCTTTCAGATCCCTATCTGGGTCTACAGGAATTTCAGGTATACGCACATCCTTCTGAGATGGTCTTTCTGCAGGGGAAGAAGTGTGAGTAATGAGCATGAAGACTGATGAAAGGCTGCTATGGATATACACTCCATCAAATTATTTAGGATCAAGGTACCGGTTGCTGTTTGTAGACAGATAAAAGCAGAGGAACTGGTATAGGGAAGCAGAGATAATGGTGGAGAAGAAGAAATGGTGTTACAAACCCGGGAAACCTTTTGGTGGATGGATAGAAGCATGAAGCTTCTGTGAAATCAACCAAACTAATATTTGTCAAACACGTGCATTCTGTTGCCACTCAAGATTCTTCAGTTTTTAGCAGCAGAGTTGAATTATTTTCTGACAGTAATCCTGTTGAGAAACTCATTGAACACATTTATTTGGTATTTTAATGGAAACTGTAATGGGTATATGGGGTCTGCAAGCCTTTTTAGTCTATCAAATGTTCAAATTCATTTGAAAGTATTCATATATTATTGGTAAAAACACTTCTAATTTGCATGTGGTCTGTTTGTAATAATTTTCCTTCTTTTCAGCTCAGACACGTGCAGTTTCTAATTCAAGCCTCAAAAGGTGCTCTTGTGTTGGTATATTAGCTCTGCTGGTGTGAACTAGAAAATTTCAGGAATCAGGCTGCACTTAAACAGTTTCTAGGTGGTGTGTTTTAGGATTGCCCAGAGGCTGGAACACACTGCCACAATTAAACATGATCCTGTTTTCCTGGGTGAACTGTGTCAAGGTATAATGCTGGATTTGGTGGTGTATCTATTCTACTTGACTGCAGATAGGAAACATAGCAAACTGGACATGGAGATGCTTCAGATTACTTATAACCCTTCAGTTCTATTAGTTACTGATGGTTATGGTAACTTTAAAGCTTTTGGGAGCATTAGAATTAGCCATAAAGTTATGATTTAGAAACAAAGCCCATGACCTAATCCCATTTCCTGACAGTTTGTGAAAACAAAGATGTATGTTCTTTCTGTGATGCATTATAATCACCAATGTTTATACAATGGCCTTCAAATGCTTTTAGGAAAGCAGGCTCACAAAGTGTGAAGTATCTTATGACTTCAATGTGTAACGATATGCAACTTAACATGAATAATTCTAATATTGCACTACTTGATTAGGGAGTGTAAATTTATAGGGTTTTTTGAAGGATAATGATTCTTGAAGGATAGCAAAGATTCATTTAAAAAGATGCACCTGAGGAAGGTGTTCTCTGCTTCGGCACTGTGGACTTGGAGCATCCTTTGTCAACACTTTTCTTCTGTGCTCATTATCCATCTAAAACCCTGTCCTGCTGCATGTCTGCTGCTGTTAGATGCTGTGCTGAAGTAGAAAGGCTTTCCAGTTAAAATGAATTGAATTCTCCCTTCAGGTTTGATGTGGAACAGCAGATACACTTTGTTCACCAGTCTTCTCATGGAACTGCACCTGTATGTGTGTTTCCCTTTGACCAAAAATAACTAGGATTGCGTAATTGCCGTCTGCTTTAGTTTGGAAGTATCTGAGAGACTGTAGTTGTCTGCCTCTACCTCTAATGGAGGTAGAGTGTTGGAGGCAAAGCAAACTACTAGGAAAGAGAGTAAGAGAGGCATAAAAACCAGAAGAGCAGTTGGGATGCTTGTGTAGTCTAGTGGAACCATCTTAAATTTTGGACAGAAAATACTGCATTGTTTTTGGGGCTCCTTGAAGCTCAGATGCTCACTGAATGATTCCCTTCTATGTGGGAAAACATGAGGAAAAGGAATGACTTGTGTGAAGGAGTGATGTTTGTCTGCTGTAGCACATCACCCGTGCAAGGGCCCTGGGAGCATCCCCCTGCCTGCGAGGGCTGGGGGAGCTGGTGCAGCCGGGAGCAGCCCCTGTCCCACAGTAACACTGGGATGAGGCTCCTTAGAAGCTGCTTTTGGTGTGGCTTGGCCACTGTCTGGCTGTGGCCTGCTAATCTGCACAAGGACACCCCACACATATATGGGCCAGCACCCCAGCTCCGGCCAGGGCTGTGCCCGATGTCCAGGGCTGGGGCTGCCCCTGTGCCCCAGCTGCCCGGCTCCTGGTTGCGGTGGTGGGATGAGCCCTGCCCTGCCACCCCCTCGGTGCCTCCCAGCCCTCAGAGACCCCAGCGGCACCCAGACAGCACCTAATGCTGCCCTGCCCTTCCCTTCCCAGGAACATCTCAACCGGGTGTGCTTTTCAGAGTAGAGACGAATGAGGGGAGAGGTTTGGAGGAGGTGGCTGGTTTTTTTTGAGCAAGCAGCTTTCTTCCTTTCTATTCCTCCTATCCCTCCCCCTCCCTCTAAAAAAGAAGAAATAGCTTAGTTGGCAGAAAATGGATGAGACAAAGGAATGTAGGAAAAAAGACAGTGGAAGGAATGTTTTAATTGAGAAGGAGATGGGGGGGGGGGG